AATTTTTAATTATATTATTTCTAAATGTTACTCCTGGTTTATTAGATTTTATATGTACTAAGTATGGTAGATTAGTTCTTTTAAAAACAGATTTAACTGCAAATCCTTCACTAAATAATTTCAACCCACACCAATTAATACTCTCTTTATTTATTGATGGTGTTTGATTATTTTTAAAAAATATAAAGGAAGTTAAAATGCTCAAAGTTGTATTTTGATTTAAAAATATACTTTCATCAAAATTTGTTTCCATTTTATCTTCATTAAATCTCAGTCCATATTTTTCAAGTAATTTGATTGTTTTATAAAATTTCTCCATTTCTTCAAAATCGGGTGTGATCATCAAAAAATCATCTGCAAAAATTAATAACTTTCCTTTTTTGATAAATTTAAAAACATGATTAGAAATTTCACTTATATAAATAGTACATAAAAACGATGAAATACTACATCCCTGTGGTATTCCTGTTTCCATCTGATATTTATAATGATTATGTCTTACATATAAATTATCAATTAATTCTTTAATTTTAGCCTTAATATTTGACCCTTTCATCATTAAATTTTTAGATTCGTAAAATATTTGATTTTCAATACTTTCCAAATTTATTAATGAAATAGGAGTAGGTTTATCAAGTGATTTTTTAATTAATTTATATTGAAATGTGTCTGTGTCTAAATTCAAAATAAGTGTTTTTATCTCTGTACAATTATAATATTTTTTATCTTCAATCCATTTCTCACTATTTATAAACTCCTTTAATACTTTCTGATTGATTTTATTATAACAATCTTTTAAATCAACTTTCAAAAAATATTTTCTTTCCTTATTTTTACTTAAATACTCTTTTAATATTTTGTTTATATCGTTAGACCCAATACAAGCAGGTTGATTATTATTCCTTATGGATTCCCTCAAAATGGGAATTATTGGGCTTATATAAGAATTGATAGATCTTTTTGTAGAAAATCCATATTTACTTTCTATTACAACTTCCTTTTTGCTACAATTAGTTATCAATCGAAATCCACCATTCTTAGGTATACATTTAACAGTTGCACTGGGTATTTTAGGGTTTAAATTTCTAACCCTATTCATATTTTTAAAATATTCGTTTAAATATTGTCTTGATCTGTTAAGCCATTCATCCTTCATAAAATACACTATTTTTAGTTTGAGTGAACTTGATGTGGTACAATAAAAATAATATGATATTATGGGGATAAAAATATTATTAAAAAGATATAACAATACAGATTCAAATATTTTAGTCCTTAATATATTTTCCTTTGAAGTTTTTTTTTTCTTAACAAATAACTTGCATTTCCTTAATGAGAAATGACTTTTTAAATTTTCTATTGAAAACGTTTCATAAAGATTTTTCATTATTAATAATTGTATTTTCCCATTTAATTTCTTGAATTCTTTGCCTGTCAAAATAGGCTTTAAAAATTTTAATGAAATCATCATTAAAAACTTAATTATATCATGTGGATTAATTTCACAAATGTTATTATTATCAATTATTTGTTTATCAATAAAACAAAGTTTTAAAATTAATTTAAAAGGAATTTTAAAAAACTTAGCTGATATAATTTCTAGTACTACTCTGGTACTTGAAAGATTTTCATCAACAATTTCTTTGTTTATTTTTATTTCTTCAATATTAAAAATAATTCTATTCATAAGATCTTCTATGTCAAAATATGGTAATTCCCTATAAGTTTTAAACATATTGTTTCTATTTACATAATAACTGATTTTTGTATCTGAAACAGTTGAATTATAAAAGTCACCTGCAAGATAAATTAACTTACCTTCACTTTCTTGAATTATTTGGCAGCAAGTTAATAGAAACACACTATAACGGTCACCAATTGTATAAAAAATACGTCTCCACTTTTCAGATGTAAAATAATATGCTGCTGTATTATACCTATGTTCATATATGTTCATAAGTCTATTATTAGCTTCAGATCTTTCTGTCTTGAGATATTCTTTCTTAGATTCCTTTAAAATGTCTTCTATATTCAAATTTCTTTCTATACTATACTCCGGTATTACTCCTTCATATTTAATGTAAATATTTTCTACCTGTAGAGAAATGTTAATGCGTTTATGTAGAAATTCCTCCAACGGTTTGAAATTTCTTAGTTCAAGAATTTTTTTCATCAAAAAATTTTGAATATTTGTTTAAAAGTAATCAAATTTTTAAATTAAAATGATGATGTAATAATGGCAAACAAAACTTTGTTTACAAAAAAAAATAAATTTTAAAGATGGAAAATTATAAAAATATCTCAAAAATAAAAAATTTTACCTGAAAAAAAAAGTCAATGAAAACATCTTTTATAGATTTTAATAATTTTTTTTAAAAAATTTTTATGTTAATAAAATATGTTAACAAACTCATTAAATACTTTAAAGCTCCTCGGAGTGTGAAAATTGATAGTTCAACTGCATATAAAATACTAGAATGTGATAATACCAACTATATAATGAAGTATAAAGAACTAATAGCTATAAACCATCCAGATAAAGGAGGCAGTGAATATTTAACTAACTTAATAAATGCAAGTAAAGATTACATAAGTGAATTGAATAAAGAAATTTATTAGATGTTTTTAAACATGTTGTGTATGAATGTGTTTAAGTTTATAAAAGATAAAACATATAAAATTATCCATAAGAGAAACATCTCCCGGTTGTCAGCAGGTCTAACAACTGGAACTAGTGAGTTAATTAAGTAATAAACACAAACTAGTGCATATATACTAGTTAATATAGAAAGTATACTTATTTGATTGACTAATTCAAGTATAGGTGCATATGCTATACTACTTATGAATAAAGTAAGAATGAAGGGAGTTATTTTCTTTCGAGTATAAAGATAAAACACAATCAAAATAATAACAAAAATACCACCCCATGAAAAAACATTGAGTGTAAAATCTTTAACTGTATTAGTAAGTTTTTGACTAATTGATTTAACTGGATATTTAAATGTAAAAGCTTTAATAACAACAACAAGGAACTTAAAAATAATCAACATTATTAAGTACATTAAAGATATTGAATAGCTTTTTATCTGATCTTCTTCCAACTTTCTGATAGTAAATGAAGCATATATTGCCATTTTAAATCCATCAATTGTAGTTTTACTTCGACTCGTTGTATTTGTTGTACTTCTAACAACCATAAAAATATTTACAAATTTTATTTTTATTTTTATTGAAAAAAGGTTTTCATTTAAGGTTTTTTGTTTGTTAAAAGAAATAAACTTTGTTGGTTTTTAATTAAAAAATCAATAAAATTTTTGTAAGAAAGAATGAGTTCAGAAGATCAAGAAAATGAATTTTTAAAAAGAATATCTCGACTAAATAAGACAACTAGGGGAATAAAAGAGATAATAGATCAACAAAACAATAGAATAAAAGATATAAACATACCAATACATAACTCAGTGTTTCT